AAAATTAATTTTCCGTCCGTCCTTGTCACTTCCTGTTAAACCGGAAGTAGCAAAAAATTGCTTTTCTTTGCATTAATTAACATTTCTTCAGAGGATTCAAACCATTTTTAGTCATTATTTCTCATTTTTGTTAAAAATGACAACTACTTCCGGTCAAACAGGACAGAAGACCTACTCGTTGCTTTGCAACGAGCTTTGTTCTAGTTATTATTATTATTCTTTTTTTTTCTTAATGATTTTGTGCAAGCGATTTCTCGGAAACGGCTCGATGGATTTCCATGAAACTTTCAGGACTTATGTAACATTACTTGAACCTTATGCATTTTTTCCGATCTGATGACGTCACTTCCGGTTTGGAGATATTGTTGATTTCATGATTTTTGAAGGGTCAGATTGTCCTCGAACGTTCTAAAAAAATGGCTATAGATAGAAACGTGTAAATTTCAGGTATGATAGTCCAAAGTCTATAGATATGTAAAATTTATTTCATTTTTATCTGAAGTACCGCACGTCGGCGCTCGGTATGGCGCGAAAATAGTCGTATTGCGAATTTCAAAATTTTTACCACCTTTTCTACGATATCTTTTTACCTGGAAATATTTAGTTAAAATATATAGAACGAAAGTAGTGTAGAATTTCAAGATCTTTCAAATGATATCTCGAAAAAAGGGCTGGCCCCTAGAATTAAAGGACTAGAGGGGCTGAAAGTTTTTTCTTTATATCTCAAAACGTATTGAGAATTTTTAGTAGGTCCAAGAAGCAAAGTTGTTCAAAATGTCAAGCTTAATCTTTTGGAGTCATCAAAATACGTCCGCCGTCGTCACTTCCAACTAAACCGGATGTAGTCGGAAAACGCGTATTTTTGCCGTTCTTGACAAGTTTTTGGGTAACATCTGTCGAGCATAAAAATTAATTTTCCGTCCGTCGTCGTCACTTCCGGTTAAACTGGAAGTAGCCAAAAATAGCTGATTTTTGCATTAATTTACATAGCTTTAGAGGAGTTGAACCATTTTTAGGGATTTTTTCTCATTTTTGTAAAAAAAAAAAAAAAGCTACTTCCGGTCAAACAGGACTGAAGACCTACTCGTTGCTTTGCAACGAGCTTTGCTCTAGTATAATTATTATTATTCTTTTTTTTTCTTACCGATTTTGTTCACGCGATTTCTCGGAAACGGCTTGATGGATTTCCATGAAACTTTCAGCACTTAAGTAACATTACTTGAACCTTATGCATTTTTTTCTGATTTGATGACGTCACTTCCGGTTTGGAGATGTGGTCGATTTTATGATTTTTGAAAGGTCAGGTTGTCCTCGAACATTCTAAATAATAGCTACAGATAGAAACATGAAAATTTCAGGTATGATAGTCCGAAGTCTATAGATATGTAAAAATTATTTCATTTCTATCTGAAATGCCGCACGTCGGCGCTCACTATGGCCCGAAAATAGTCCTATCGCGAATTTCAAAATTTTTACCACCTTTTCTATATCTTTTTACCCGGAAATATTTTGTAAAAACATATAGAACAAAAGAAGTGTAGAATTCCAAGGTCTTTCAAATGATATCTCGTAAAAAGGGCTGGCCCCTAAAATTAAGGGCCAAGAGGGGCCTAAAGTTTTTTCTTTATATCTCAAAACGTATTGAGAATTTGTAATACGTCAAAGAAACAAAGTTGTTCAAAATGTAAAACTTAATCTATTGGAGTCGTCAAAATACGTCCGGCGTCGTCCCTTCCGGCCAAACCGGAAGTAGTCGGAAAACGGGTATTTTTGCCGTTCTTGACAAATTTTTGTCTCTAAGAGCATAAAAATTAATTTTCCGTCCGACGTCGTCACTTCCGGTCAAAAATTTTTTACACATTTTTGGCAATATCTTTTCACACCTTAATATTTTGTAAAAACATATAGAAAAAAAGTTGTGAAGAATGTCACGATCTTTCGAAAGATATCAACGATAAGGGGCTGGCCCCTATAATAAAGAGCCGAAAGGGGCCGAAAGTCTTTCCTTTATATCTCAAAAAGTATTGAGAATTTGTAATACGTCAAAGAAGGAAAGTTGTTCAAAATATTAAGCTTTATCCAATGGCATCGTCAAATAACGTCCGGCGACGTCACTTCCAGTAATAAAACCGGAAGTAGTCAAAAATTGCATATTTTTGCCGTTCTTAAAAGGTTTTTGGGTAACATATGTCACTGGAAGTTTTAATTTTAATTTTCCGTCCGTCGTCGTCACTTCCGGTGCAATAATTAACATAGATTTGGAGGATTAAACCATTTTTGGACTTCATTGCTCATTTTTTGAAAAATGAAAGTTACTTTCGGTCGAACAGGACGGAAGACCTACTCGTTGCTTTGCAACGAGCTCGGATCTAGTTATTATTAAGGTCTTCCGTTTCAACGGAAGACCTTCTCATTATTCTGTTGTTTCTTTTCAACTTTTCTTATTATTATTATTCTTACCGATTTTGTGCAGGCGATTTCTCGTAAATGCGTCGATGGATTTTCATGAAACTTTCAGCATTGATGACAAATTATATGAACTTAAGGCGTTTTTTCTTAATTTGATGACGTCACTTCCGGTTCGGAGTTTTCTGCGATTTAGTGAGTTTTAGAGGGTCATTTTGTCCGGCAATTTTCTCAATAATGGCTCAAGATAGAAACATGAAACTTTCAGGTATGATAGACCAAAGTCTATAGATATGTATAACGTATTTCATTTTTATGGGAAGTGCCGCACGTCGGCGCTCGCTATGGCCCGAAAATATTCCTATCGCGAATTGAACAATTTTTAACAACTTTTCTACAATATCTTTTTACCTGGAAATATTTTGTTATAACATATAGAACAAAAGAAGTGTAAAATTTCAAGATCTTTCAAATGATATGTGGAAAAAAGGGACTGGCCCCTAAAATAAAGGGCCTAGAGGGGCCGAAATTATTTTCTTTATATCTCAAAACGTATTGAGAATTTGAAATACGTCAAAGAAGCAAAGTTGTTCAAAATGTCAAGCTAAATCTATTGAAATCGTCAAAATACATCCGGTGTCGTCACTTCCGGCCAAACCGGAAGTAGTCGGAAAATGCGTATTTTTGCCGTTCTTGACAAGTTTTTGAATAACATATGTCTCTGGGAGCATAATAATTAATTTTCCGTCCGTCGTCGTCACTTCCGGTAAAACCAGAAGTAGCAAAAATGGCTTATTTTTGCATTAATTAACATAGTTTTAGAGGATTCAAAGCATTTTTGGGCGTTATTTCTCATTTTTGTTAAAAATGAAAGCTGCTTCCGGTCAAGCAGGACGGAAGACCTACTCGCAACGAGCTTTGCTCTTGTTATTTTTCTTCTTTCTGTGCACTTTGTTGTCCGCGAATGATCTCGTAAACTACACATGCGACTAAGGTGAAATGTTTTTAGGGTCAGTAGACATGTTATATAGATTTGCGGAACGAAGGTCATTTTGCGTGCACGTGCTTGCAAGAGCGCGCGCACGTGCAACACGAGAAATGATCGATATAATTGATATAGACTACATTTCTCAATTTTTGATGAAATGCATTGAAACTCATATTATAAGGATATATTAGTAGCATAGACAAGATGACATGGTCAAAATAGCAAGATCTCACGCGCATACACGTTTTTCTCTGATTGGCTGAAACTAAAGTCTCAATATATTTCTCGTTTTTTAACGAAACCCTTTGAAATTTTGAACATTGTCATGTATTAGGATATCCTACAACATGATATATAGCAATTTTCATGAAAACACGTGCATGCACGTGCGCTGCAATCTGATTGGCTTAAATTTTAAATAGCTATAACTCCCTTGGTTTTCAACCAAACAGGATGGGATTTAGAATATAGATAGATATAATGGTCTTCTACAAGAAGGTATGGTCACCATGCTCATGTATGCACGTGCGTGCACGTGAAATGAATAAAATCAAAAATGCATTTGAATGAGCGTATTTTTTAATACTTTTCGATTAAATACTTTAATATTTAGTATATTAAAATATATAGATTGTGTAGACATGATGATATGGTCATTACGCACATGCATTCTCATGCGCACGCGTGCAATGCTAAAATTTGAATGAACTTGGTACACTTCTGGGTAAACGTTGTTAAAGTCTCAAATGCATAGAGTTTGTCTTATTTAATGAAGCCTACAGGGAATATGGCACCAAAAGGGAGTTGGGGAGCGTTTGAGAAACATCTGTAACGGTCCCCATTACAATAAGCACTAGTTCACAATTAAAATCGGTTACAAATATTTCTCCACCCCCCCCCCCTTTTTAAAAAAAATTGAGGCACCTGTACCCTGTTTCACTTGAATATAACTTTTGTATATTTCTTACAAGGACCGCTACTAAAATGTAAAAAAAGATTTAAATATGTATATTGTATAATTTAATAAGAGGTGGTTAATTGTCCTGTTCTTGTCTCTTATTTATGTATGCACAAAAAACGGTGCTTAACTTTTCTGTGCGAAATTACAGTTCCATTACAATTTTGACGAAATGTATTTGAAACTGAGACGGAATTAATATACTTTTACGCAATAAAGGCAGGTCCGTAGGAAGCAATTTCAGTTGGGGGAGGAGCAGCTATATTTTTTCCAGTTGGGGGCACTTTCAACTATAAAATATCCTTGACAAGCAAAAAAAAAATTTTTACAGCCATGAAAGGTCATCTATTCATCTTAATCCGTGACATTAGCTCTTTTGACACCAATTGTAAGCTTTTTACATTTCGATCCGATTGTCTTAACCAATAATGAAATATTACGTCCAACACACGTTAATGCTTTTTGTATTAGGCTTTAATTTGACTCTCTTTCGCTTAAAATATTTAGAAATACCATTATTTCCTAATTATTTTAAAAGTCTTTTTTCTCAACAACCAGTGATCCAGGAAAAAACTGAAACATCCATGGAAACATCCTGAAGCAGTGTAGAAAACATAAGTGATATACTTATCAATTGCTTTGTTTTAGCCATTTGCCCACCAGGGGAGGAATTTAATTCTACTAGTAAAACTTGTGGGAAGTGTGCCTTAGGGTATTACAAGTCTACAACTGGTAACAGTGAGCCATGTACCAAGTGTCCTGATGGTAATACAACACTTGTCATAGGTTCTGTCTCCAGTGCCGCTTGCAATATATGTAAGTATATATTCAGTTTCAACCTACATGTAATAGAAGATTTCCTAGCAACAGTGCCATTTATTTATACATCCCTCTACTGCTGTATGTAATCTCCCCTGTGATTAGTTGTGTTTTACATTTGAATATTTAAAAAAAAACATTCATGTCATCTTTAGATATTAATTCCACAGCTACGATGTTTTATGCATGCATTGAGCATGTGTTGGACCTACTTATCATGCTTGAGTGACTTGTTGTGTATAACTTTTTTAGCTCACCTGAACCGAAGGCTCAAGTGAGCTTTTCTGATCAAAATTTGTCTGTTGTATGTTGTCTGTCGTGGTTGTCGTTGTTGTTGTAAACTTTTCACATTTTCGTCTTCTTCTCAAGAACCACTGGACCAATTTAAACCAAACTTGCTACAAAGTTTCCTTGGGTGAAGGGGATTCAAGTTTGTTCAAACGAAGGGCCACGCCCTCTTCCAATGGGAGATAATTGTGAATAAAAATTAATGGCGTTTTTAAAAAATCTTCTTCTCAAAAACCACTGGCCCAGGAAAGATGAAACTTATGGAATCATCCTAAGACAGTGTAGATTCAAGTTTGTTCAAATCATTACCCCCGGGGGTAGGGTGGGGCCACAATAGCCGGTCAAATTTTTACATAGGAATATATAAGAAAAATCTTTAAATATTTTCTTCTCAAGATCCATAGGGACAGGAAAGATAAAACTTATGTTGTATTATCCTTCAAGTTTGTTTAAATCATGACCCCGGGGGTAGGGTGGGGCCACAATGGCCGATCCAAGTTTTACATAGGAATATATAGGGAAATCTTTAAAAAAAATTCTTCTCAAGTACTGCAAAGCCATGATTAGTTATATTTATATGGAAGCATCCTCAGGTACTGTATATTTTAGTTGTTCAAGTCATAACCCCCAAGGATAGAGTGGGGTCACAATGGGGGATCCAAGTTTTACATTAAAATATATTTTAAAAAATCTTTCTCTAAAGAATACCAAAGCCATGATTAATGATATTTATATGGAAGCATCCTCAGGTAGTGTAGAATTAAATTTGTTCAAATCATAACCTCCAAAGGTAGGGAAGGGTCTCAATGGTGGATCAGTTTTACATAGGAAAATAAAGGAGAAAATCACAATAACAGAAAAACTATGTGAAGTCATATTGACATGTAAGCATCCCCATGTATTAAAAATTTTAATTTGTTCATTCATGAGTACCTTTTGGGGTAGGGAGGGAAACAATGGGTAGTCAAATTCAAATTATTCATAATATACATATAAAAAAATGTTTTAAAAAAGCTATAAAAATCTTTTTCTCAAGAACTTTCTCAAGAAGTTATATGCAGAATTGATATAGAGGCATTCTCAAGTAGTATTAGAATTCAAGCCCCTCCTCACCCCACCCCACCCCTCAGTAAACTTTTCAATTCTGATCTGATTTGTGCTTTTCACTAGCCGATGTGCTCAGATGAGCGTTGTGGCCCCTGGGCCTCTTGTAAAATGTGTAGCCCTAAGGTCATAGGTTCTTGTAGGGTTGGGTTCTACTGATTAAAAAGTGAAAATGCATTACATTTTTATAATCCTCTGCTCTGCTTCTGGATATTAAGTAAACAAACTTAATGTATAGTTATGATGAGCAAGGGTGTCTCTGTCAAAATTGTGAATGCCATGGCCTCTGGTTTAAAATGTGAACCCAATTCAATTGTAGCAAAATTTTACATGATACTCAAGTGAGCTATTAAGTATGTGAGCCTCTTTTTTTTTAAAGTTACTATAAGTCCCATACTGCCCATATTTGCACTTAAGATACATTTATTGATTCAAACTATCACAGTTGCTTTGGATCCCAGATTTAACCTACATTTTCCAGATAAGTGAACAGGTTCAAGTTTTTGGATCATGTTAAAAAACTATATATATATATATATATATATATATATATATAAGGCTACCAAAACCAAACTTGAATCATGCGTCAAGGGAAACACATACCAAAGTTGCCTCAGATGCTGGATTTGACCTACGTTTTCCAGATGAGAGACCAGATTAAAGCTTTTGAGACAGGTTCATCTCCAAGAAATTATAAGGCCTATTTAAATAAACTTTCATAGATGATCCATCAAGGTGTGTAATCAGCTGAGCGGGTCTTCCGAAATTGACGAGGTGAAGGTCGATCGATCTATTTCTCACCCGTATGTAGTAACTCAAGCTTAATGACTTAATACATTTTACATCCACTTCCTTCATAGGCTTAAACAATTGATAATCATATATTCACTAGAATTTTAAAATTGTGAAAATTTTATTCGCGTAAATTTAATATACTGATTTAGGTTCTGATTCGCGGAAAAAAAACATGACGCGGAAAAAACCTGATATACGGTATTTAGATCATCTAACTATTTACGAAAGCTTTACTTTGATTGATGCTTCTCAATAAGAGAAGCTAGTGCTAAAATATCAAATTAAATTTGCCAAGGGTCTAACAACAATGTGTGTTCTCAGGACCCCTTGCATTGTGAGGATGATGCTGGATTTGACTTGCATATTTTGAATGAGTAACCAGTTTAAAGCTTACCGTTTAGTCCATACCCAAGTAACTGCATGCCCTATCAGACCAAAATTGAATAGAATGTACTCTGTAAATTGAATAAGATGAACTCTGTTATCTCTGATTACATGTACATAATTATATATAATGAAAGAAATTGTGTCAGGAAACATGAACATGTTTTATAGGATGTTTCAGACTTAAGAAAAGTTTAAGGCTTGAAGTATTAATTAAAGTAATTAAAGTACCTGTCGAGTAAATTTAACAATTTTGTTTTACAGCTGACTGTTTGCCGGGAACCTATCGGTCATCTGGAGCCGGATGTAAAGAGTGTCCAGCTGGAACATTCCAGGATGAGAAATCCCAGACATCATGTCAAAAGTGCCCTGCTAATAAAAACATAACAGAAACTACAGGAGCAACTTCAGATAGCTACTGTATAGGTAATAAACTAGAGGTACTGTGAGCAATGAGCTCACTAAATATTACCCCCGCCTCCCATATGAATATAATGGCAGTATCCATGTTTTGCTCTGGAAAATCCAAAATATATGTCAGATCAAAAAGTAAAATAAGAGGTGCACAATGGCAATATGTAATAGAGATTCTGTGAAAGTTTCATTAAATTTCCTTCAGTGGTATGAGAGGAGTTGCGGATAAGAGAAGGGTACCCTAAAGCTTAACAGACGGACGGACATACCGATTACTATATAACCTCCCACTTTTCAAGCGGGAGTATAATAAGACTAATGGACTAGAACTTTTTTCAGAAGCATTTAATTTTCTAAGTAAAACAAAGTACAGGCAACTTAATGACCAAGAAAAACTTGAAGATATCCAGACTTAGTATATACTGTGCCAAACTACAGCATAAATCTGTATATTATATAACTTTCCTTCTCTGATCAAGAGAGAGAGAGAGTAAAAATGTGGGAAAAAATATGACAGAGACTTGTTAATGTTAAGTTATTATAACGTCACAATAGGCATTACCATGAGTACATTGTAAAACATCATAAGGAAGACAATTTATTAAAAAAAAGAATCAGCTGTTCTTCGCCCATTATACAAACTATCCCATGTTTTCATATTATATTACCATTTCATTGTGCAATGAAATTGCAAATTTAGATGTAGACAAATAAATTTAAGGCCAATTTTAATAGATCCCGCCCACTGACATAAAACACAAAGACAGCTGCATGAGATTTACATGCATATTTGGCTTCCTCAGTGTCAAACACAAAGAAGCATGAGATTTACATGCATATTAGGTCTTCTTAGCTCCTTACCTATCTCTTTGCCAAATTTACATTCCAGTAGAATGATAAAGAAATCAATTTAACTAACTTTCAAACAGTTATCACATGGAAAACGAGAGATGATGTGAGCAATGAGCTCACTAAATAATACCCTCTTCCCATATGGTTATTATGGCAAAGTCCATGTTTTGCTCTGGGAGACCTGAAATAAGTGTCAGATCAAAAAGTGAAAAAAGAAGGTGCACAACTGCATTATGTAATAAAAAATCTGTGAAAGTATCATTCAATTCTATTTTTAGGTCACCAGAGTAAACTCAGGCGACCTATTGCTGTTTTCGTCCGTCGTCGTGCGGTTTTGTTTTGAACATATTTTATTGTACAAACAAAAGGATCGTGCGGTGTACGTCGTGTGTTACATTTTCAGCTTCTTCTTTGTAACTCCTCTTCTTTACTCCTGGACATACAGCAGTCAAATTGTTAGCATGATTGTAATCAGCATTGAGTCCTCTACCAAAGTTTTGAATTTCATGGCCCTGGGGTCAGGGGTTCTGGTACTAGGGCGGGGCTACATAGATAATATAGTGAAAATGCATTATTTCTTTGAAAATCTCTTTCTTTGTTCCTGGGTATTTAATAAACAAACCAAATACATAATGATGTTAAATAAGGCTGCCTCTTCCAAAATTGTGAATTTCATGGCCCCAGGGACAGGGGTTCTGTTGTTAGGGCGGGGCTCTATAAATTATGTAGTGAAAATGAATAAAGTCTTTGAAAACCTTCTTCTCTGCCCCTGGATATTAAACAAACTAAACAAGTACATAGTTATGATGAACAAGAATGTCTCTTCCAAAATTGTGAATTTCATGGCCCTTGAGTCGGGGGTTCTGATGTAAGGTTTGAGGCTCTATTGATTACGTGAAAATACAATAATTCTTTAAAAATCTTCTTCTCTGCTCCTGGGTATTAAATAAACTAAACAAGTACATAGCTATAATGAATAAGTCTGCCTCTTCCAAAATCATGAATTTCATGGCCCCAGTTCAGGGGTTCTGGTGTTAGGGAGGGGCTTTAGTTATGATGAAGAAGGATGCCTCTTCCAGATTTGTGAATTTCAGGGCCCCAGCGTCAGGGGTTTTGGTGTTAGGGCGGGCTTCAATGATTATATAGTGAAAATGCATGAATTCTTTGAAAATCTTTTCCTTTGCTCCTGGGTATTATGCCAATGTTCTAAGTACATATTAATGATGATTAAAGGTGCCTCTTCCAAAATGGTTAATTTCAGGGCCCCAGGGTCAGTGGTTCCTGTGGAAATGCATTTTCACTTTGTTACCTTTGGTCTACCTTTGATCTACCTTTGGGTATTAAGTAGCCAAAGTAAGCAAGTTAAGTGTATAGTTATGATAAGCAATAGTGCCTCTTTCAAAATTTTGAATTTCCTGGGCTTTGATTTAAAACACGAACCAATTCACTTGTAAGAAAGTTGTTACATGATACTCAGGTGACCTATAAGGCCCGTGGGCCTCTTCTATATAATTAGTATTATGAGAGCTAGGACTGGCGATAAGGGATGGGTACCCTTCAATATTACAGAAAGAATAGCCATGTCCATGTTTTGCTCTGGGAAAGCCAAAATGTGTGTGATCCAAAAGTAAATTAGATAGAGCTTAATGGCATTGTGTAACAAAGATTCTGTGAAAATCTCATTAAATTTCATTCAGTTGTATAGGAGGAGTTATAGATAAGAGATGGGTACCCTAAAGCTTAACAGACAGACAGACATACAGATGGATGGACATTCCAATCACTGTATACCTTCCTACTTTTTAAGGTGTGGGGGATATAACAAATATAAATGGAAACTAGATGCGTTCTTGTTGCTAGGGCAACAAGCAGGTCTTCCGCCCGACTTTTCGTTAGAAATCTCTGCTCCATCAGGCCATGAAATAGATTTCAGAATGTATTTTTATCGTTTACTTTCATTGACAGCAGTCTCTCAACATAGATCGTGATTATTACAGTTATTCCACAAAATATCTCAAAATATAGCTTTTAAAAATCGACAAAATCTTCCATACATTATAAAAAAGAAAGAAAAGTCATATGCAACTGAAAAAAGACAGAAACAGAGAAAAAATTTTTGCAACGCCCCCAGCGGGATTCGAACCCCCGACAGTGAGACAAAGTTTGGATCGGTCATATCTTTGCAACAAATGCACGCAAGAAAATGTTGAAAACATATTTAGAGTTCTTAAAAGATACTCTATCAACCCTGTGATTTCCAAAGAAAAATAGTGAAAAACAAAAAAGTTGAAAAATTAGACTTTTAGAATTCACTTCCGTTTGCGACCGGAAGTCAGAACGACGAAAAATGAAGGTTGAAAAAGGTTGAAAAATGTATCAACACATCTACATTCGATGTTCTATCACGTCCGTAAGTTTTAGTTTTATATCTGTTACTGTTCTCGAGAATTTTTTGGGACAAAATTCCATTTAAAAAATACAAATTTCCCCAAAAAACGCGAACGGAAGTAAATTTCGAAAAAGTGAGGGACACCCCTGGAGATATTTACATGATGCACCATCCCTGAAAAAATCGTTCAAATTGAATCACGCACAGCGGAGATATGACCTGTACTATGAAAAGTGGAATAATAATAATAATAATAATAATAGAAAACAGAAGGAAAACAATAAGGTCTTCCGAAGGAAGTCGGAAGACCTTAATTATATATAGTGTATAAAGGGAAATTTTCGCCCCCGTTTAATTTTTGCCCCTTTCGCCCTAGTCAGAAGTGGGTGAATTTAAAACGTGGCGAATTCAAAATAATAAACAGTGTAATATCTGAAACAAAAATCCTTCCGGGCGAATTGAAAAAGGAACAAACTTTTTTCAAATGTGAAAAGGCAAAAATAACATGGGGCGAAAATAAGCCTGTATAGTGTATACAGTATTGGTTCAAAGTAGTTAAAAGTCGATATCGCTAAAACTGTTCTGTAAAAGTAAGCTTCAACTGTAAAAGTCAGCACTCCCAACAAAAGTCCACAAGAACATTTAATATTGCAAGTATTTATCTATTTGAAACTTTTATAGTAATAGTCTGATCATTTTAGTTGTACTAACATCTTCATTACTTTTAAACAGTGTCTTGTGGGGATGGTTCACAGTATGATAGAACTTTAGACAATTGTACAGCCTGTCCCAAAGACTTCTACACCAACAGAAAAATCTCACAATACTGCATCAAATGTCCATCAGGGTTCATCACATATGGAGCCGGGTCTTCAGAGTGTGTTCCGCAAGGTACATGTACTTGCTATTCATTGCATATATTTTACGATGTATAATAAATAAATGCTAACACCTGTGCAATTCGTTTCAACTTGAATTCTAACCTTTATTTGTCAAAAACTCAAAAAATTAACATTTAATTTGAAACGCGTCAAAATGAAGCTTGAAATTAAAATTTTTTCATGCAACAATTTTCATTTTATTCCTCTTTATAAGATTCAAGGTTTTTGGAAGTCTTAGAAAAAGGTCTTATAAAAGTTGACATTTGTACCCTATAAAAGGAAAAAAATAATACAGTTTTAAAAAATAAGATTTTCTTGAATCCAGCATTAGATACCAATGCTTATTAGCATGATATGAAATAAGAAGTGATTTGTGGTGTTTTGCAATGATAGCAAAAGCCTTTTACACTATGTATTATAGAATACATGTCGGAAATAGAAGACAAAAATACCAAATAAGTATAAAAATCATGTCTCTGAATGCCTGGATACCTATCGTTTTTTAACATAGAATATATTTGTTGATCAATTTGCAATTAGAAAATACATTGCTGATATTCCATTTCGCTTTTTCTGCAAAAATATTGGAGATTTGACAATTTTCCCTATATAATATGATTTACTTTAATCTTTAAATTTAAAGAAATACTGTGGATAAATTTACATAACTTTGTGGATTCAGAGATACTTTTATGAGTAATTTTGATTACTTACTTAACTGCTAGTGGTTAATATGCTGATACCTATGGAAAAGCATCAAAAATTTTCAACTTGAATTTTAGAGTGACCTTGATCTCGGTTATCTTAAATTTGTTCAGTTTAAAGAAACCGATTAGGATACCGGAGGTATTTTTAGCTTGCCTTAGCTAAGTAGGTACTTAAGTCTAAGTATGAATCTTTAAAAATCTTTTTAGGGATTTCCAATCCTAATAGGACCAAATTCTCAATCCTTAAATGTCTATCAAGTACATAATACTTTGATAATAAATTAAAGTATTTTATAGTCACAGTAGAAAAGGATTGGTCAAGAGAAAGTTTTAAAAATTTCACTAAGCAGTAGTTAGTTAACAAAGATTACATTGAAATCTATGGGGAAAACAATTTTTAAAAAATAAAAATTCAAATAATAAGTATATCACTAAATACTGTAGTGGAAATTAAGATGCATTGAAACATTAGAAATAGAATGCCAATACGCGAGTTTCGAGATTGTAACTTTCCTACGGTAGAGGTGCAGAAAGTATCCACTTCAGCATTGAGGTGGGACAGGTTGTTTCTGTATACAAACGTGCATAAATAAATGAACGATATTTATGGCTTTTAAAATTTATTAAATGTTATAGAAAGATAATAATGTTAAGCAGTGATGCATTTGATGATTTTATCAAGCTCAACTATGCATATTTTCAAATGTACTTTCAATTATAGGGTACTTAAAAACTAAAGAAACGTCGTAGTCTTTATAATAAGTAACCGATTTTCTTGATTGTACGAATATTTCCTAAACAGTTAATGTTTTTTTTAAGTTATAATAAGGAAAAGAATTAATGTGTCATTTAAATTGCTGATGTGCAATGATCAGATGCATGTGTACCGTATTTAGTAGAGGTCTATATCTCTTCCCTCGTCTGAAAAATCTCACATCCACTGATATTTTCTTTTTTGTTACGATTTTTTTTGCTTTAAAGATGATGCCTTTACATTAATTCGGTTATTCTCCAGTTGAAGAGTGCATCATGACAATCAGGCCAAAATAAAATTATAGTTTGTCTGGAATTGCCGCCCGCCGAAACATACTAAAGGCCTGATATACTAAAGACCTTATATTTGACCTGATGAAAAAATATTTCTTACAAATTATCAATTTAAACATTACATTTCATATTTCTGGGGCAAAAATATTAATGATAGTAGCTGATGCTACACTAAAATACACTTTACGTGGATAATAAGTAGATTTTTTGCTATGTATTAAGGTATATTCACAAAACTTGATGACCTGATATTTTTTACTTTACAGGCCTGATATTTTTAAGGTATCCGATCCATAAAAGCCTCAGATTCAATGAATCCGAATGCACCTCAGACATATATTGGGTGAATACCCTTTATAAGGAGACATAATATTCATGTTTTAGTCCCAGTGTGTGAGAGAGGAATGTGTCCTAATTTTTTACCTTGACCTGTCGTTGAAAAGTTATCCCCCTTTGCTTTTAATCAATAAAATTCATTTTTAAAACAAATCTGTGTGCATGATGAAAAATTATTTTTTAATTGTTTTCTTTAATTCTGGCAAAAAAATTGTCTCAAAACCATTTAAAGTGTTTAATTTTCCTAAAAGAATTTTTAAAAAATATCAGGTCATTCAAAACCTCTCGTTGAAAGTCATTTATGAAAATATCAGGTCTTCACTAGAAATATAAGGTCATTCAAAATATCAGGTCGACAAGTTTTTGTAAGAACACCTTGATACAAAGAAAAAATTCTCAGTGTTATTTACTAAAACTGTATTTTAGTATAGTAGCATCAATAATTGTCTCCCAAAAATTGATACAGAATTTTTAAATTGATAATTTTATATGATATTTTTTCATCAGATCAAAATATCAGGTCTTTAGTATATCAGGTCTTTATTATGTTTCCCGCCCGCCTCATTGAAATACCCCCAGCTCAAATAATTTTCTTGGCAAAATATTGAAACTATTTATTTTACCCCTTTATCATCCTACATTGTTTATTACAAATTAGTTCATTCGTCGAAAATATCTTTTTAAAGTCGGGTTAAATTTAACAATACCTAGCTGCCAATAAATCCGATTGTCGGCGTTAGAAGCTCTTCGATGCTACTAATAGATTACAAAATATTAATGTCGCCGACATCGCTAACAAAAAATTAAATTGTCATTGTTATTACCAAATCCAAGTGCAAATGGCATAAAAGTAGTGCTGAATGTTGATTACAACGACGGAGTCTATGCCTTGTTGATATTTTTACCGCCATGATTAAATATGGGGTTAGACTAATACCAGGAAACAGACAATATTGCAAAGTTTTACTTTACAAAGGAAAACATTTTAAGTCCAGTCAATCTTTAAACGCAGTTATAATCAGAAATACAAGTCTTATTTCTGGATAACTACTCTTAAAACTTGCAATCCCAATTTTAAGAAATAAATGCATGTAACGAAAGGTGGGACTAATACATGTATCAGTAATATGAACCTTGCATGGATTTTTTTAAGAAAATAAATTCCTATTCTGTTTCAATATTCCTGTTGTTTAAAGTAAACAAAATATTATTTTCCACTTTTTAAAAGAAATATCAATAAACATTTTTGAATGTTTTATCATACCTGTCAACCAAATGTGATGCTGTGGGGGGGGGGGGGGGGGGGGGGGGGGGGGGGGGGGACCCAACATTCAGAAATGAAATGTTGGGTCATAGCGCGCGGCGACATTTCACAAGGTTGGAGTAAAAAAAATGGTCCCTAATTTTTAGGCATCAATGCAAACACATGCATGAAAATGTTACATTTCATTGCAGACTTAATTTGAACTCAGTACAGGCTACTTTTGGGAACACTTTCAGATGGATAGTAAGATTCACATACTTTCAGTTCAATAGAATTTTTGCGAAGTTTTAAAAATATAAAAAGTTTCTGGGAAACATTTGTTAGATTCTACAATGATTAATTTTTAACATTTTACACAATCAGAAAATTGTAATTAGACATTATATTGAAAGAAATATTGAAAAATTGCGGGAGGGGGGGGGTAAGAAATATGTGCCATTTAATTTCCTATTATTAATTTTATCACACACACAAAATATTTGAATGAATCAAATACTACAAAATAAATTATAAAGAATACCTAATACCCCAAACAAAAACTTAAAATCGTTAGAGTCATGATATGGCAAGTGGGTATTCCCTTGTCATAGCCATTTAACAAAGAAATACAACGTACAATGCTGCATTTTTGGAGAGGGGGAGAAGAAATTCAATATACTTCACTTGAGACTTTGTTGCTTCATCTAAATTAATATCATCTTAACAATAATTTCAATATAAGCAGATAAAATCAGCTGTTATCAGTTTATGCTTTTTAGTTTCGTTTTTTACTTTCGTTTTTAAAAAAAAGATCCCAATTTTAATACTGTTTGTTTATCATATCATTTTTTTAATTAATTAATTTCTGTTTTTAATAAAATATTTAATTAACCCCTAAATCTATGTGGTTCACCATGCATATACCCCTTCAAATGGATACGTATAATCCCCTAACTGCTCCAGACATGTTACCTGTACAGCTGTGTCAATGTGTGCGTTCAAGCGAGAAGTAATTTACTGTGGCTAATTAACACCTCGGCATGAATTGTGTTAAGTAAACAAAGATACTAATCTGTGTGCATTGAATAAACAAGTCTGATGTTCGTATCCCGATTTATGAAACACAAATCGTAAAATTTTTGGATGAATTTTCAAATCTTTTTTGTGGGGATAAACATGCTTTTAATATTGGGTCAAAAAATGGGGATGATCGATTTTGCGGGTGAAAATAATGACACGCCCCGGGTCATTATGAGTGGGAGGTGAGAGGTCAGTTTTGCGGGTGTGACCCACCGAATGCGGGTCACTTGGCAGGTCTGATTTTATGTAAGTAAATGATTTTTTTTTAAAGTCTGACAGAAATCTGAACATGTGCAAGTTTAAGTTTTCTATATTAATTTCATTAAAGTTCAAAATTTTGATTATTAATTGATTATGCCAAGCCGATTGTTGTCGATAATCGATTCAAATTTCTTTTCTGATTACCCGCCATCACTACTTTATAGTATTTTATGATGTAGCGATTAAAGCCATTTGACAAAATGAAAGCTGCCAAAATGTCAGACCAGGTTGGACCAGTGGATGGTAAAAAATTACATGGATCTGAAATTTTTTAGGCCTATCCCAAATACTTAAGGGAAATGTTGTCTGTCAGTATGATAAGTCTTTGAAACGTAATGTTAAAACTGATTTATGGCGAACACTGCACTCTAGAACATACCAAACACCCCCTCCCGCTTTTCCACAAAACATCCCAACTATTCTTAAGAAATTTTTTGTGGTTTGCACTGTTTGTAAGGGTTGTTTTAACAAAGGGCTAAATTTCAAAGAGAAATGCTATGAAATAGACTGATAAAATTATTGTTTAAAAAAGATTTTTAAAATAAACTAGAAGTTTGACGCTGAAATTTGACTTTTAATAATAAATGAGCAGGTCTTACATCTAAATTAGATTGATATTTGAGTACCGTTAGGTATATATATTTTTTTCAAAATCAGACAAAAATAATATCAATAAAATAAAAAAAAGAGGACAATTAATAAAAATCACCACTGTTGTTCATTGACATTTTTTGCTTTTTTATCATTTAGCCTTAATTTGGTAAAAAAAAAACCTCCCTCCTGGGTCTGAAAACCCCCAGGCTGCAATTCCAAACAAACATTTTTTAAGGATGGCCTCATGTAGTTATGATAAAGCAGTATATCGATGATGCAATGTATCCAATTTATAAATATCTGTCCCACCTGTCTGTTTACGCGACAACGAAACTCCCCTCCTCAACAAAAGAGTGCACCAAGGGAGATAATCTCGAAACTTGCATATTAAAAAACGATTTTTGTACCAGGTAAGTTTTTTTAAATTGATATTTTATTAATTAAAAAAGAGGGAGATAACTCTTACCAAAATTCAAGGTCATAAATTAGGACACTTACATGCTTAAAGTAATAAAATGAAATTATGTCTAAATATACTAGTATTCACCACCAACACATCTGTTATGTATTAAATTTCATTGAATCTGTTGCTACAGTGTATTTGGTACGAATACTTTAAGAACAGCTAAGCTATGATCTGTTATATTTACAAGGAATTTTCATAAGAAAGATAATCCCCCTAACAGAATTATTTTTTTCTTTCAACTACATACAACATTGTTATACTCTAACTTAGGAAGCAGCACTTTATGATGTTTTCTAACACAATTTTAATAGGTATGATACTAAGTATTATTTTCATAAACATCTTTAGTGTAAATTGTGATAATGAATTGTTACTCTTTCTGTTCTCTGTGTTGACATTCTTCATATCTTGATCTGACATAAAAATCATTTCTGAAAAATTAAGCAGCACTTTTCATACTTTCAAACTATTTTTCATGTGACTCTAATGTTATTGTTGTTCATGAAGATCAATATTAGAATTTTTAAATTTTCTAAGGGAAATTTATAGCAGAGGGTGGGGACCCCTTAAGCCATGATTGGTCAAGAAATTTGGAAGCATCCTCAGGTAGTTTAGATTCAAGTTTGTTCGGCCTAGCCACTCATATAGTAAACTTTTCAATACTTAACTGATTTTTGCTGTGCTCACGTGAGCAATGTGGCCCATGGGCCTCTTGTCAGATGACCTATTGTCTGTTTGTTCATCTGTAAACTTTTCACATTTTCAACTTCTTCTTAAGAATCACTTGGCCAATTTCAACCTAAGGTGGTACATGTAAAAAGAATCCACATTTTACATTGAAATATGTAGGAAAAATCTTTTTAAAACAAAGTTCTTCTCGAGAACCACTGAACCAGAAAAGCTGAACTTTTTGTTGAAACATCCTTGGGTAGTGTGAATTCTAAATTATTCAAATCATTTTTATGCTTCTTACTTTTCAAAGAAACAACAATTAAATTGATGACTAATAATTTTTTTAATTTCAGCCCCTGGAACAACTGCTGCTCCAGTCATAAAGCAACAGACATTTATATTCACTCTTTCGTACAAATTGTTTTTGGATTGTCAAGTTCCAGATGCTGTTAATTCAGCATTGGCAAACATAAGGGCTCGAATTATACATAGGCTTCTTGCATTAGCCTCCCGTTTTGCAAATTTTTGCAGAAAAATAAATGTTCAAGAATGCTTTCTATCTGTAAGAGTACAATCTAATGTTTGCAAAACAGCAAGAAGGAAAAAAAGAAATGCATCACCCGTAGATCTAGATGTTAAAGTGGATATTCCTGATGTCAGGTGGGTATTAAAATGCAAAAGATTTTTTTTTTCAAATCCTATTTCATTCACTTTAGTTGCATCTATCCAATATATCAAAATATTACAAATGAAAACAAAAAATTATGTTGTGCACTACAGTGATAATAGTATATATTTCAACAGTGTCATAGAATTGACATTAAACTGTAAAATGCTGTATTTGTTTGTCAATATGGTGGTAAACAGTATTATACTTTCATGTAAATTCATTAGGAAACATTTGTTAAAATACACTTTTACTTGCTGAATGATGAAGTCATGTACTCAAGTGTAGTGTAACAAGAAAGGAGGAAAATGCAGTGGACCAGACTGGGATTCGAACCCGTGCCCCCTGAAACTCCCGTCAGGTGCTCTACCAACTGAGCTATTTGGCCAAAGGCGATTGAACCCGGCTGACCGCCACATTCCTCTCTCCATAAAGGTCTTTGGCCCTCCAAAGACCCCAACTTAGGCTCATCCCTGGCAGGACTCTCACCTGTCAGTTCCAGGGCATGACATGGCACCAGATGTAATGAGAAAGGAGAAAATGGACCAGAAGGGATGCGAACCCGGACACCCTGAAATCCGGTCAGTTGCTCTACCAACTGAGCTTTCTGGCCACTGGCGATCGAACCCGGCTGACCGCCACACTAGCATTGACGATGGGTGATTTTCAAAAAAAAAAATGACTGCACAGAATTTATGTGCACACAAGGCTCAGTGTTAAAAACATTCAGTATACTCAGTAATATAATTGCATACTGTAAAATCACATATTTTCATGAGTGATATTTTCGAGGTTTTAGAAAAAATCTTGGTTTGTGATGACTTGATTTCGTGGATGGAGAATGTTTTAGTAGTAATGTATATTAATTTTCACGGTGGTCATAAATTCATGGGTTTCTCCTTGCCCTGAAAACAACGAAAATTAAGGATTTCACAGTATATAGTTCTTAAGTGTAACATTGAAAAATTCACCCCCCCCCAAAAAAAAACATTGTCAACGGAGCCGCAAAAAAATTTTGATTCACAATATATCACAATTTTTTCCCTTAAATATGATATTTTAACAGGCAAATTTAAATGACTGTAATGAATATTCATAATTTCTCCTTAAAAATGTGCTGAAAAAAACGTAATTTTGATTTTTTTTTTTTATTTACATGCACATGAAGCATGACTGGACGCTAGGTTGCTGTTCTTTTACTTTTCAACATTTTGTACCCATTCCAAATGAGTAGCTAGTAAAATACCATTTTTTCCAGTGATTTATTATAAGCTATGTTTTATTCAATTGTTTCTTTCCAATAGCTCAACTGTAACAGATACTGAAGAACCTACAAAAATTCTGCAAACTGAATCCATGCTTAAAGAGGACTTGGATACAAACAAACCTGAATATGCACCTCAGGTAAAATCAATTATTTTTATTCAAAGTACTGTCCCAAAAGTAGGTCACCATGGATTCATTTTTGAATTTCATAGCTACACATTTTCAATTCATGTCTGGATTATACACCTATCATACCCATACATTCTAGAATTTCAAACTAGATGCAACCTTGGGGAAGATGTGTAGCAAACTAACAATCTAAGAGTAGGTATCTGTATTCCAAAAAAATTAACAGACAAGTACCATATCACTTCATAGTGATTAGGAATATGCATAGATATGTATGCATAATGTGAAATGTTCCCAAGATAACGAGTCACTCATATGACCTATGAGCTATCTGTCCATCCCCAAACATTTAGGAGAGAAAACTAATATAGGGTAGATTCAATTTTGTTCAAACCATGACTGGGATATGGGCCCAGAATAGGGGTCCATACTTGTTTGCTAGAAACAGTTAAACAGCAGAAAGGCGTTTATAATTATTTATTTACCTCAAGAATACAGCATAATAACATGATGTGGGATTAGATGAGGACCAAAGAAACTTTTCACTGATTTGACATTATAAGCTCAAGTTTGATATGCAAGTAAGAAAATGCCCTTAATTGTTTCTGATTTTTCTAAGAGACTGATCAGGAAATGAGAGATAAATAATTTTCCAGGAAGTGATTGACCATAGTTACATTTTTGACTTAAGAAAAGTTTCTGGAACGTTGCCATTTTAAAATGGAAAATATTGCCATATGACCACCTCTCTTTATACAATATAATGTCAGCATTGAATATTAAATGGATATGAGGTGGTCAGTATGATAATTTAAGTTTTGCAATTATATATAATTTGTCATCCTGCATTCCTGCCTAGTAGAATAAATTAGCTGTCAATGGTATCTGTAATATTTTTTGACATTAAAAAATACAAGACATTGGTATATTGGGTTCACATATCTATGTTTAACAAATTAAAACAATATACTTACATGTAAGAATGCACAAAAGCAAAAAGTGCCAATTCATGCACCATTTTGACCCAGAATATATATCATCTGTCCTTGCAAGAAGATTGATTGGTACTTCCACCACATGAGAGTTTTGACTCCTCCACCCCACTCCACCCCCATTTTACATTTCTGTTCTTTTAAAAATAGTCTGCCCTGTAAAGGTACAAAAATAATTTTAATTGACATTCCCCTGACCGTATCAATTGGCTGTAGCCTTACAATAATTCAAACAATAGTTATGAGTAGCTAACAGATGTATTACAGCGCCCTTAGATATATACATAAAAAAGTACATAAATTGACACAATTTAATACAATAACTAGATATTTAGTGCTTGGCGTAATCATGCATTAGCGCTATACAAGTTTGCTGTATATTATATATATAAATGATTAAGTAAAAATATTCTTGAATTAGCAGATTGTTGACTGCACCAAAGCCACTTTAATATGAAGCCCACTTTTTAGCCCCTCTGAGCCAAATTAAGGCTCAAAGAGTTAATGCTTTGGGCATTTGTGTGGGTAAAGTTTTTAGAATATGGGCCATAACTCAAGAACCCCTTGGTGAATCATTGTCAAATTTGCGCAGGATATCCTTGGCCCAAAGGCTACCAATTATACTAAAACTAGGGTTGGGACCCTTAAACAAGGGGAGATAATCAGGAAGATAAAACCAAAAGTACTTATTGCTAAAAATCTTTTTCTCCTGAACAACCAGGCAGATTATCACAAAACCTACGTACAAGAATAAGGATATGTTGAAGATTAAAAATTGCGTCAACTTGGGGCATAGGGCATGGTCTCAAGGTCACTTCAAAGTTGACCAAAAATTACACTTCATAAAAACGTTTATATTTTGCTTATAATATAGACTAGGATCATCAAATCTTGTAAGTTGATTCATCTTAGGACTTCACATCGTGTAAATCAAAAATAGATCACAGTGACCTACTTTTTAGGTCACCTGAGTAAAAAAAAAGGTGACCTATTGCCGTTGTCCGTCGTGTGTTAACATTTGAACATTTTCATCTTCTTCTCTGCAGCTGCTCAACCAATTTCAACCAAATTTGGCACAAAGCATCTATTGGTGAAGGGGAATCAAAATTTCGAATTTCATGGTCCTTGTCCCCCTGGAGCCTGAGGGGCGGGGCCAAAACCACTAAAATTAGTGCAATCTTTGAAAAATCTTCTTTACTCCTGGAAATCAAGCAGTCAAATTGTTTGCATGGTTGTAATCAGCATTGAGTCCTATACCAAAATTGTGAAATTCATGGCCCCAGGGTCAGGGGTTCTAGTGCTAGGGCAGGGCTAAATAGATTATATTGTGAAAATGCATTATTTTCTGGATAATCTTCATCTCTGCTCCTGGGTATTAAATAAACTAACCAAGTACAAAGTTATGGTTATGATGCGCAAGAATGTCTCTTCCAAAATTGTGAATTTCATGGCCCCTGGGTAAGGGGTTCTGGTGTTAGGGCGGGGCTCTATTAATTATATAGGGAAAATAAATTAATTCTTTAAAAATCTTCTCTGCTCCTGGGTATTAAATCAATAAACTATGTACATAGTTATAATGAGGAAGGATGCTTCTTCCCAATTTATGAATTTCAGGGCCCCTGGGTCAGGGGTTCTGGCATTAGGGTGGGGCTCTAATGATTTTTGATAGTGAAAATGAATTCGTTGAAAATCTTTCATTTGCTCCTGGATATTATGCCAATGATCTAATTATATATTTATGATGAAGAAAGATGCCTCTTTCAGAATGGTCAGGGGTATGGAGGGAGGGTACTTTGTCTGAAAATAAATAGTTTGAATTCTGCTCTTTGGTATCAATCAACAATTTATGATGAAATAAAATTTATGATAAAATTTCAACAATTTTGAAATATGTGCCCTCAGGGACTCAGTGGATCCTGTGGGAAGGGCTGCACAATTGGTGGTTATAAAGTGGAAACGCATTTTCTCTTTGTTACTCTGATCTACCTCTGGGTTTTAAGTAACCAAAGTAAGCATGCTAAGTGTATAGTTATGATAAGCAATGGTGCCTCTTTCAAATTGTGAATTTCATGGCTTTTCGATTAAAACATGAATCAAGTTCCATTGCTGGAAAGTTGTTACATGAAACTCAGGTGACCTATTAGGCCCGTGAGCCTCTTGTTTAATTTTGCAGGCATTTGTTTTCAATTTGATTTGGAAGCATATTTTTGACACTTTAAGGCCTATTATCATCAAACTTTGTCAGTTGATGCATCTTGGGTCCTTAAACAACGTCAACTGACCTACTTTTTGAATTTTATGGCTAATGAGCTTTTCTGATCAAAATTTGTCTGTCATCGTTGTCGTCGTTGGCATTGTCGTTGTTGAAAACTTGGGTGAGAGGATTCAAATTTGTTTAAATGAAGGGCCAAGCCCTCTTTCAAGGGGAGATAATTATGAATTAATGAAAAATTAATAGTATCTTTTAAAAATCTTCTTTTCCAGAACCATTGGGCCAGGAAAGATGAAACTTATGTGGAAGCATCCTTAGGTAGTTTAGATTCAAATGTCTTCAAATCATGACCCCTGGGGATAGAGCAGGGCCACAATGGTCGATCAAAGTTTTACATAGGAATATATAGGAAAAATCTTTAAAAATCTTCTTCTCCAGAACTTTTGGGCCAGAAAAGATGAAACTTATGTTAAATCGTCCTTAGGAACTGTACATTTAAGTTTGTTCAAATCATGACCCCTGGGGGTAGGGTGGGACCACAATGGCCAATCAAAGTTTTACAAAGGAATATATGGGGAAAATCTTTTAAAAATCTTTTTTCTCAAAAGTAGCTTTAAAGCCATGATTGGTGATATTAATATGGAGACATCCTCAGTTAGAGTAAATTCAGATTTGTTAATATCATGACCCCTGGGGGTAGGGTGGGGCCATAATGGGTAATCAAAGCTTTACATAGAAATATATAGGAAAAATCTTCTTCTCAAGAATAGCAAAGCCATGGCATGATTGTTGATATTTATATGGAAGCATCCTCAGGTAGGGTAGTTTCAAGATTGTTCAAATAAGAATTCTTGGGGGTAGGGTGGGGACACAATGTTGGATCAAATTTTACATAGAAATATATACTAAAATATCTTTAAAAATTTTCTGGAGAACACCAAATCCATGATTAGTATATGGAACTAATGGAAGCATCCTCAGGTGGTTTAGATTCAGGAATTGTTCAAATTATGACCCTTGGGGTTAGGGTGTGGCCACAACGAAAGATTAAAGTTTTGCATAAGAATATACATAGGAAGAATATAGAGGAAAAAATCTGCTTCAGAACAGAAAAGTTCTGTTTAGTCAAATTGACATTTAATTATCTGCAAGTAGTGAAGAATTAAATTTATTCAAATAATATCCAATCGGGAGGGGGGATCTCAAGTAATATGTTAGAAAAATCTTTAAAAATCTTCTTTTCAAGCATGGCAAAATTATAATTGTATGCTTTATTGATATACATGTAGTGACATTTTCAAGTAATAAAAAATTCAAATCCCCCTCCTCCAACAAGTGAACTTTTCAATACTGAGCTGATTTGTGTTTTTTCTCTAGCCCATGTGCTTAGGTGAGGCCCATGGGCCTCTTGTTAAATTTTGCAGGCATTAGTTTTGAAATTGTTCAAAAGGCATATTATGAATACTTTCAGGCTTATGATCATCAAACTTTGTCAGTTGATGCATCTTGGGTCTTCCAAAAACATCAACCAAAAAGTAGGTTACATTGATCTACTTTTGACCTTTTATTGCTACATTTAAGTGTCTTAGAATCGTCGAACTTTGTCAGTTGATGCATCTTGGGTCTTCAGAGAAGGTCAACTGAAACATAGGTAGGGGATGACAAATCCCATTGCCCGATGCCCGGGGCTAGTGAATTTTGGGGGTGGCCAAGTGAAACTTTATCAACCACTTGTACGTGGGCAAGTGACTTATCAAAAATAAAATCAATTTGTAACCCAAAGATTTAAAGCTGGGCATAGGGGC